ATTGGATCCAACAAATCAATGGTAATGATCTAGTCAAATATTAAATATGATAGTCAAATATTAAATGGCAGTTCTGTAAATAAGTGTACAATTCGTGGTGAAATATAGACCTTTGACCCCAAATTAAAGGTAGATTGGACATATACCAAAACCAACATCACGTGGGGTCCACCACCACCCCACATTAATCCCAACATCCACCTGCCAACGTCTGCCCTACCCCATGGTCCCCATCTATTATCCTTCACCCACAAAAATGCACACAAACACACGCACACACACACATACACACACCTTTCACATACAATCGCCGGACACCACCATTCACATACCATCGCCGGAGAACCAGTGCGCCGCCGCCTTAGCCCTCAACACCACAGACCATTTCTTGACCACCAACCCAGCCACCAATCTCCGTCGGACCGCCGCTACAACACCAGGTGCACCGTACGTCAGTTGTCCCGACGAGCCACTCCGTGTGAAAATACGTGGTACGGCGGAACATCGTTGCTAATGATGAGATCTGACAAGGAAGACGACCTCGTCGGGATGTGAGAAGAAGGCGGGAAAGTTGGTCGTGCGAGTGTCAATGATGAGATCTGAGACGGCGGCGGCGGGTGGCCGAAAGAGATGACCTGTAGGGGATGGTGGTGGAAATGTGGTTACAGATTTAAAAATTAATTTGGGTCATGTCTTTGAGAATTGGACAAACATGGAGGACCTATTTACAATTAACAAAAGCTAATATATTTGACTATTTCAAAATTTAAAAGGGGTTATTAAAGTAGCTTGAAATCTGGTTATTTCAATTTAATAGTGTGACATTGAATTTGGATAATTTACAAGAGCGTATAAGAAACATTAAAAACCTCAACTTTTAATTGGACATGATCATATTTCGTAGTTGGCATTAATCTAAAATCACATTTTTTCTTTTTCTTTTTCTTTCAAGGTAACCTCTTACATATTTGCAATTATCAAAAGTTAATTTATTCGCATAGGTCATGTGTATATTTGACAATATTTGCACAATAATAATAAAAAATACGCAATATTAAGTGATGATATGATATTAAAATCAGAAATAAATTAGTATTTGTATTATAAAAGAATATTTAGTATTTTAATATTTTTTATTTAATATTTTATATTAATATTTTCTTAAAAAATAATATACATGTAAAAAATATAAAACAAAAATTAATATTTGTATATGGGTCGGTCGGTTATTTGATTTTCGACCATAATGGAACAATCAAAATTATAAAAGTAAAAAAAAAAATACTCGGACTGACATATAAAGAACCATACCAAAAATTGCATTAGATGTTAGATGATAAACGAATTGTACCATGCAATTTAATAGGCATTAAAGTGCAATTCAGACAACAATATGGTGCATAGTAGCGGTCTGTAATGTGCATATTGAACCAAACGAATTTTTGTTATAAATCAATTTGAAATGAATGGTTTATTCGATTCGGTTAACCAAATTATCATAAATATTCAAAATGATTTGTTTTTTACATTTAGATATATCTAATATTAATGATTTTATTTATTATTTTATATTATCTGCAGTTGAAAACAAATTGAATTCGGCTATTTTTTTCGACATATAGAGTGCAATATGATAATCGCGATAAAGTGCAGCGTGTTGCTCTGTAAAGTGCAACGTGTTGTATTATAAAGTGCAACTTGTTATTTTATAAAGTGCAAAGTGCAACATATAGTTTTATAAAGTGCAAAGTGCAACATGATGATGTATAAAGTGAACTAGCGTAATTTTAGTACGTTTAGCATTCGTGTTTTTTTTTTTTTTTTTTTTTTTTT